CAGCCTGATGTCCAGGGGGTCCAGAGAGACAGGGGCCATAGCCCCATCCCCACCACCATACAGCCAGGCCAGCAACAGAGCCAGGCTGATGCCCAGCAGGTCCTAAGAGATAGGGGCCATGGTGCCCCAAATGAAATAACCCACATGCTTATAAAACAGACACCCAGAGAAGAAGGCAATCTGAAGCCAGAGGCAGAGATCTCAGTGCTGTGGCTACAGTGTGTGTGTGTGTGTGTGTGTGTGTGTGTGTGTGTGTGTGTCCGGTAAGGGGATCGCAACCCTTGGCTTGGTGTCGTCCGCACCACGCTTAGCCAGTGAGTGCACCGGCCATCCCCATATACGAGTGCTGCTGCACTCCCAGCGCTGCACTCTCCCGAGTGAGCCACGGGGCCTGCCCAACAGGTACCATTTTTAACTCCATAAAGATTGGGTGACATGTGGAAAGGTGACGGAGGAAATAGAGCAAATTGGTCTGCTTAAAACCCTAGGTTCCTCCCTAAGAGGCAATATGGCCAGTGGGGGAAATGGAAGGTTGACAGGCACCAGAACTAAGCCCAGGCCTGTAAGACATTTCTAGTCACCTCCATCAACGTGATTCTCACTCTGTTTTCGTTATAATGCTTGGCTGAAATTCCTACTCCCCTCCCATATTTCCCCAATTGATCCTTTTTTCTTTTCCTTGAGTTAGTTTTAACTTACTGAAGGTTAAAAATCATAGAGCAAAAAAATGATATAAAACAGAGAGAGAAGAGGGAGCTATACTCACAGAACTGCAGAATTTAAGAAACATTTTAATGTTAAAGCCTCACAAGAAGGCTGAACTACTGATTCCTCCGAGGGTTGACTGGTTTGAGGCACATACATTAGCACTTGTCTCCTCAGTCTGATCTGTTTGTTGGTTGCTATGTGGATGATGATAAAATATCCATTTGGGTGGAGTCAAAAATTATATTACACTCTAATAGCACATCTGTGAATGTTGGCCTTTTGAACAAATGACTGTAGTTCACCAGGCCCTTGTGCTGTCAGAAGCTGCTTCCCAAATACCAACTTTGAACCCAGTCCTACCATATGGACACATGGGGTCAATGAAAAATAGTGTCTGAGGGGCCCCAGAGCATGAGAAGATCTGGCAAAAAGTGACAGGCTTTATCCAGGCTGCTGAAGAGAAATGTACTGAGACTAGAAAAACTAAGGAGGTGCACGCCTTCAGAACGTGTCTGTGGATCAAAATACACCCTCGCAGATTCTTGAGAGAGCCCCTGGCCGCGGCATTGAAACTAAGGAGGTGCACGCCTTCAGAACGTGTCTGTGGATCAAAATACACCCTCGCAGATTCTTGAGAGAGCCCCTGGCCGCGGCATTGACCTTGGCGTTGTTATCATTAAAAGGCTATGCTCATTTCTGGCACCTAACATTGAACACATTGACAGCAATGGGGTTGATGGAAGAGGAAAGAATCTGTTTTGCAGTTGAAAAAAAAAAATGTTCTCAGATTTCTCAAGCCATTTGAAATCAGGCCAGAGAAGTACTTGATTTCAGCATTCTTAAGCTCTCCGCGATGATGCCGCAAGTGGTGTCCTCCACATGTGATGATGTATTTCAGAGCCAGAGTTTTCTCAAGATGTTCCAAGCCTGCAGGCTCCTGATCCTTTTTCAAATTACCAAGATGATAGTATCCCAGTGAGAGTTGTGATTAGTCTAAACTCTCCACAGCTGTGAGAGATGAATGTACAAATTCCAATAAAGATTTTGCATGTTCTGGACTGAATTTACCTACATGACATCGAGGCCTTACTCGGGGACCACTTAAAACAACTGGAGCTGCCTCAATGCTATTCCATTTCTCCCATAGCATCAGCTGCTTGGAGGCTTGCAACTGTTCCAGGAGGATGCTTCCCCTCACACCAGTGTCACTGCCCAGCACTGGATATTTATTTAGAAGGCCTGCGCTGTGAGGGGAGAAAAGCAGGGCCGGGAAAATTAAACCTAAGTTCATGGGAATTCAGAGGCCTTGCAATTCATTATATGAATAGCCAGGAGGATTATAAAACACCTTGTAACTGAAGGGGTTGGCCTGGAGCTGCATGGGACAACAGAACCAGCTGTGTCACCACCTCTAACTAATTTGTAACGGTGCTAGCAAGAACACAGGCCCAGAGCATTCTTCAGTTACTTGGAAAAGCCAACAGGGCTTTGTTTTCTCAGTTTGGACACCTTTTCCCTAAAATACTTCCTTATAATACTAAGTAAATGTAAAGTTGCATGGCATACTCCTTTTACCATGCTTAATAATTGTATCATCTGAAGGCACTTGCCTGTCTCCTTTACGAAACATCTGAGGCTCAGCATGCTTTTCAAGACTGGGAAAGACAGGGGACAAGGATTCATAACATTGTCTACGTACATTAACAATTATAGAAATAAGAAAGAAAACTGCTCACTTTGGAAAACAAAAAGAAAATACCAAAGGAATACATAACACGGATTTTAAAAAATT